AAATAATTTAATAATAATTTTTTTAGTTAAAAATAAGAGATTTTAAGTTAAAATCATATATATATTATGTGAATGTGGTAGGTTAAGAGATAAAATATGATTGTTTATTATTGTATAATTCAAAATTTTAAAAAAAAATAACCACCAATTAATTTGGGAATAAGTCAAATATGTTATCCATTTCTCTAATGTTGAAATAATTCAATAATGCTTTAGAGAGACTGAAATTCTTCTGGGAGTTAGAAGATTTAGGGGATAAATTGGTTGATTTAAGTCAATTGAAGACTTTCTTTTTCTCTCTCTCTTTTTTTTTTAATGGTTTAAAAGGCAAGGACTACAGCCTTTTGTTTCACATTACATGAATGGTGCAATGCAATGAACCAAGATTGTGTGGTAATGAAGTGGAATCTGGAACATAAGCTACCAGTGAGGAAGTACCAAAAAGATGAAAGTTAGTTACCAATGGAGGCTGCAGCACAACGTGGATTCAATCTGCATGGAGGCATGTTTTCCAAGTTTTCTTTTGAAATGATTTCAAATGAAAATTCTTTGTTAGGTCAGATTCTTGTGTAGTTTTGCTTTTGCTTAGTCATCATTGATTATATATATAAGACTTTTTGTTTGGGTTATGGTATATGTTTGTACTTACTTTTTAATCGCTAAAAAAATCTTTAAAATAATAACCCGTAAAAGAAACATGGATATTATCTTTAAAGGTTGGCACATACGATAAAGAAAGAAATTAAGTTTATATTAACCAAAGGTTAATTCCAGTAAAAAAAGATGTTTTGTCTGATGTTAGTTGGATCGATAAGGACAAGGGACAGGTGCACCAGGTCTGATTGAATCAGTAATTCTTCTCCCATAACCAATATATTTAAGGTAGGCATATCTACCTCTGGATTATGGTACATTGTTCTTGACCTCTCCTCCGTTTGGAGAACACAAAGCCTTCCAGATTCAACTAATCATACATTTAGGACTAAATTAATCAACTTTAATTTAATCATACCAATTCATATATATATATATATGATGAATCTATTTATATATAAATCTTACACACTACATTTACATAAAATCTCAATTTTTTATTTATTCAATTTCAATAATTAAAATTTATTTATATTTGTTAAAGATAATTATTTTTTCTTTTAAAAATTGTGATAAATTTCAATTATTAAGAAGTGAAAAGATGAATGATTAAAATTGTATATATAAACGATAAAACTTATGTATAAATTAATCCCTCCTATATTTATATATATACCCAAAGTTGGCTCTCCAAAATATTAATAACTCAATTTTGAAAAGCAAGTGTGAATTGTTTTATTGCCTAAAAGAGAGTGATGGCCGGACTTTATTGACAATCTTACAAGCCCAGGTGGAGGGTTTGCTTAGGGAATTGCAAAACTCCTATTTTTCATATTCATTTATGGTATGTTTGGGAACATGATATTTAGAGTGTATTTGAATTTGGTCATTTCAAATTCAATATCACAATTTGTTTTCACAAAATAAGAATGTAATTGAATTTAACCCAAATACATGTAATTGCGTTTGTATATTTCATTACTTTAAAATCCATATATTTCAAATCCTTTTCTAACCATATGTATTTCAAATTTAGATTCGTGTATTTCAATTCTCCTAATTTTGATGGAGCTCAACAGTGGAAGATTTCACCTCACCCACCCTTCCGCTACTCACAATGAACCAAATCTTTGGCAAAGCAAGCTTGTATTCTCCTCTCCAGCAGTGGGTGCGCAACAACCCACATGATCAGCCATCACAGAAGACAACTCCTAAGGCATATTGAGCAAAGCAGAGCAGCAGACACATGCAGCTAGAGTGTCCTAGTAAGGGAAGATTAAACACTTGTGGATGGACCAGTACTGGGTGTAGATAAAAAGGTGAGTCTCGTTGAAAGCTTGCAACAAAAAGCCATTAAAGGGGCAGAGGAAGAGTGGGAGGTGGAGAAGATGATAAAAATGCCTTGGAAGTGTTTGTAAAAATGCCTCAATTAACAACTTGAATATCAAATTCATTTTTATTATATCAATCCAAACAATAAATTTAAAAATACATATATTTTAAATTACATGTATTTTAAATATATGTATTTAAAATACATCTTTCAAATACAAATTCAAGTTCCCAAATATAACCTTAGA